ACCTCCTAGACATATGAGACCCCCCAAGTACTTTGTGCAGCATCATGGTCATTTCTATATTTGAAAAAGTAGGATTTGAAAGTGACTGTGATAGTGATGGCTCAGATAGGTAGACTATTGAATGGCAATATCTGGAGGATGGGGCAGATGTTCATGAGAACCAATTGGTTTGAGTTGTCAATAGAGGGGTGACGACGGAGCAGTGGCTAAGGCACATGCCTTTAGTGTGAGATATTTACGCTATGATACATCCACCAATGTGTCCATGAGCTAGACACTTAACCAGTGTCTAGTTGCTCCAGAGGCATGTGACTTCTGACATATATAGCAATTGAAAGTAGTTTTGGATAAAAGTGTCAGCTAATTAAATAATTATTATTAATTATGTCAAATACCTATATAGTGCAAACCAATCTGAACATGGATGAGTTGCTGAGTTTCTATAGGGTTCTTCTCACATCTTCTCTCATCACTTGTCTTGGTCATATGACTGTGATGTGTACAATGAAGCAAGGCCTACAGGTTTTTGAGGGGTGAAAGACTGAAATAGTAATTACGTTACTTATGGGTGGAATTATATTGAAAAAAAAACCTATTCCCCTTTTTGCTGAGGACCCCATGGAACCACCATAAGGAACCATGGGATTAAACGGGTTAACCACTTAATTTCCTGCATTCTGAACACATTTTCTGCACCAATTTATGGAGGAAATGTCTTTATTTATATGAAGGCAAACAAAATTAAGGAACGGGTGACAATTCAAAATATAAAAACATAATGGAATGTAATTCAGTAATCAGCTTTTGGACAATGCACATTTGTTTCTTCTATATTTCAGTTGCATTGCATGTTTCCCTGTCGTGCATTGTTTCATTTGTTTGTTTGTTATTCAACATTTCTTGTTGCAGCTTTCAAAAAGTGATAGAGACATTCAGATTCTGACCTGTCCCCAGTGTTCCCAGTGTAAGTTTAAGTGTCCCGCCCCATCCAGGCTGTGATTGGTCGGTTAACGACAAGTGACATTGATGAGTTACATTCAGCTTCTCTTCTACCTCGTCTCTCTCCGCAGACAGAGTTTAGCAGGCAGGAGAGAACGGGAACAGGTGAGCATCACGTAGTGCCCAGAGTGCCTGACATGGAGAGGGCAGAGGAGAGTACCGACAGCTTGGGAGAAGTCCTGGTACGTTAAAGAGTAAAATGTCGAGGTGCCGGCACTGCGTACCAGGGTGTTCCCACTTCAAGCACTGCTCCTTAGACCCTGCCCTAAACCTAATTCTAACCTTAACCATAAAACTAAAAGTCTTTAACCTCGACCAGCTCTTTGAAGAACTGAGAAGACTAAATACCCTCCACCGTAGGGATTGAGAGATGACCATAAACCACAGCGTCCCCAGTTTGCATCTGGCTGGGAATCTTTCTCCCCTCATATCCTGTCAACGCTCTATTTACTCTGTAAAATATAAAAGTGTTTAATTGTCTGACCGCTTGTGTTGCGGCCCTACTGCACTCTGATTTAGTGACATCACCAAATCCACTAAGTGCAGCTTTAAAATGAGTCAAATGTCATAACTGATTAAACACACACACATACATATATATTCCCGTGAAAAATGTTAGATTCATTCTATTCACATAGACTAGGTCACCATGACAACATGCACCAGATACAAGTACTGTATGCAAAGTGAACTGTAAATGTACTGCACAAAGGCTCGGCAACATCCATTTCCTATAGAGCTCAGAGGCTCAAAAGGGAAAAGGGAAAGACAAGCAGCATTTTCTGAGAAAACTCTGCCAGCTGAACTTCACAGTCATCAGCAGCCGACTTTAGAGGTTCCCCCACTTGCTGGTTTCTGCACCAATGAGATTTCTCTTAATGAATAATAGTTTCAACTTCTGTTGCCAACCTGCCACAAGATTAAGTGACTCTTCAGAGCCCCTGGTGTTTCATTTAGAAAAAGTTATTTTACCTACCAGGCTGGTTTTTCTGACATTCAGAAACAATGTGTTGACTTCCAAATCCATCCAGCTGATACATGTGTATGCTGCTTATTTGTCTCATGCATACAACAACAGCCTCTTCTAAGAACAGTGAGGAGGCTGTCAAATTACTCACATGCAAATCACCCTGTGACATAATCTGATGATTTACAGCATATTTTGAAATACTTTCCTTGAAAGAGAGAGATGGCAGTACTGATGAGTACTGACATTCAAGGTGTCATCAGTCCTGCAATGGATGGACAGACACAGGGCCAGTCAGTCGAACTGACTGTCAAATGACTACAAAGAGACACAAAACGCCTACAAAGAGACATGAAACGCCTACAGAGACGTAAAATGCCTAGAAAGAGACACAAAATGCCCACAAAGACATGTAAGATGACTACAGAGAGACACAAAATGCATACAAAGAGACACAAAATACCCACAAAGACACGTAAAATGACTGCAAAGAGACACAAAATGCCCACAAAGACACGTAAGATGACTACAGAGACGTAAAACGCCCACAAAGACACATAAAATGACTACAGAGACACAAAATGCTCACAAAGCCACGTAAAATGACTACAGAGACACAAAATGCCCACAAAGACACATAAAATGACTACAGAGACACAAAATGCCCACAAAGACACATAAAATGACTACAGAGACACAAAACGCCCACAAAGCGATGTAAAATGACTACAGAGAAACACAAAAACGGCCACAAAGAGACATAAAACGCCTACAAAGAGACACAAAATGCCCACAAAGACACGTAAGATGACTACAGAGAAACACAAAAACGGCCACAAAGAGACATAAAACGCCTACAAAGAGACACAAAATGCCCACAAAGACACGTAAGATGACTACAGAGAAACACAAAAACGGCCACAAAGAGACATAAAACACCTACAAAGAGACACAAAATGCCCACAAAGCCACGTAAAATGACTACAGAGACGTAAAACGCCTACAAAGAGACACAAAATGCCCACAAAGACACGTAAGATGACTACAGAGAAACACAAAATGCATACAAAGCGATGTAAAATGACTACAGAGAAACACAAAAACAGCCACAAAGAGACATAAAACACCTACAAAGAGACACAAAATGCTCACAAAGCCACGTAAAATGACAACAGAGACATAAAACACCTACAAAGAGACACAAAATGCTCACAAAGCCACGTAAAATGACAACAGAGACACAAAATGCCCACAAAGCCACGTAAAATGACTACAGAGACACAAAATGCCCACAAAGACACGTAAAATGACTACAGAGATGTAAATCGCCTACAAAGAGACACAAAATGCCCACAAAGACACGTAAGATGACTACAGAGACACAAAATGCCCACAAAGACACGTAAGATGACTACAGAGACGTAAAACGCCTACAAAGAGACACAAAATGCCCACAAAGACACGTAAGATGACTACAGAGACGTAAAACGCCTACAAAGAGACACAAAATGCTCACAAAGACACGTAAAATGACTACAGAGAAACACAAAAACAGCCACAAACAGACATAAAACACCTACAAAGAGACACAAAATGCCCACAAAGACACGTAAAATGACTACAGAGAAACACAAAAACAGCCACAAACAGACATAAAACACCTACAAAGAGACACAAAATGCCCACAAAGCCACGTAAAATGACTACAGAGACGTAAAACGCCTACAAAGAGACACAAAATGCCCACAAAGACACATAAGATGACTACAGAGAAACACAAAAACAGCCACAAACAGACATAAAACACCTACAAAGAGACACAAAATGCCCACAAAGACACATAAGATGACTACAGAGAAACACAAAAACAGCCACAAACAGACATAAAACACCTACAAAGAGACACAAAATTCCCACAAAGACACGTAAAATGACTACAGAGATATAAATCGCCTACAAAGAGACACAAAATGCCCACAAAGACACGAAAGATGACTACAGAGAAACACAAAATGCATACAAAGCGATGTAAAATGACTACAGAGAAACACAAAAACAGCCACAGAGAGACATAAACCGCCCACAAAGACACGTAAAATGACTACAGAAAGACAGAAAATGCCTACAAAGAGACACAAAATGCCCACAAAGACATGTAATGACTACAGAGACACAAAACCACTGTTGAGAGACATAAAATGGCTAGAAAAAGATAAAGATTCATTTTGTGTCTCTTTCAGTCTGGGTGTCTTCCTCCTATGTAGGAGGGTTGGGAAGCCTTTTACTTGTCTCTGCCCAGCTGTCTTTTGTCACATAATCTATGAGTCTGGACAAAACCTTCCATTTCTCTCAATTTCAAACATGTTGAATCCAATAGTTGGAGAACTGTTGCATTCACCATTTGGCTCAGTGGTGCAGACCGCTACACAAACCGCCCAACAGCCCATCAACCAGATTGCCTGCAGAGAACCACGCTGTCTTGTAGGTATCTTGCCTAAAAAAAGCCTTTACAAGGTGATTAGGTCTGCGTTAGTTGCAGTGCCTTCGCTCCCTAGTACTCATATTGATTGTTTTCTCCTGGCTTGGTAAATAGATGGAAGTCAATACACCCCTATGGTGATGTCAGGGTTCACCTAGCTGCAGGTCTCCTGGGCTTATCAATTAGAGCATAAGAATGCAGCCAAGGATTTCATTTGTAGCCTAAGCTGTTATTAGTAACGACAGGTGGGTATTGAGTGTGGTGCAACACTGTGGTGGAGAAAATTGTGATAAATGGCAGGGGGAGGCTCTTTCTCTCTAAAGAGCTGTAGAGATAGATGACTGATGGTCATTAGACAGGAGGAAAGGTGTGTTTGTGTGTTTCAGGAAGAGAAAGTGAAGATGCAGTGCAGAAATGGGTTTCTAATGGGAAAAAGTAAGACTGGCACCACTTTCAAAGGCTTTGGTGCCTACTTTGCAGTGCATTAGCCACACATTTGAAGCCATTCATCCACCCCTTTCATTAAGGGAAACGCACACAGACACATCTGTTTACCTTATGGTCGATGATGCCACTGTATCCCTGGAGGACCGGGGGGTGAGGCTTGGCCACCCTGACGGAGGCTTCAGTGGGCCGCCGCAGCTGTTCATGCTGTCGGATGTGCGTATCGTTAGCGTCCCTGGAAGCGCCGTTGAAGCTGCCGTTGTACACAAGGAACAAGCTGGCGCACAGGAGAAGCACGAGAAGCACGGCGACCCCATGGCGCTGACACAAAGACACAAGCAGATGCTGACAAATTAGTCCCGTGGCACTGGACTGAGTTTAGGCTGCACATTTAGTCTTACCGACAGTTGAGAGGCGCAGGCATCCCCCTCCTCATCCTCTGCTGGTTTGTCAATACAAAAAAAAAAACAACTTTCTGTCACGTCAGGTGCGACCAAAACTTAAAAAAACCCCACCGGCTTATCGATTTAATTTAAGGGTACAGACCTGATCATGACATTGCCAAGATGTCAGGCTGTTAATGATAATCTTTACTTAGTTTGCATGCATTTAATGCCCCGGTGCGCATCTGCAGGGTAATTTATAGTAAAGTGTCTCGCCTCAGTGAACGTTGAAAGCTATTAAGTAAAAGTTCATATCGATATCCTGACCTTGTAAGTCAAACGGTGCATCAGTCTGAGCTCCCACAGTGAATTACACGGGCAGAAAATAAGCAGCTCATGACACTTTTGATTTGTTTCGTGGCACACTGCCCAACAAGGGCTGTTGCATGCGTGGATCTATTTGTTATCTCACAGGTGTTTAAATTTGGGCAACGTGCATTAATACAAGTAATTTTAAATCAACTCAATTTCATGCACTTTTTAAACGTATGCATTTGCATTAAACGCAGGAGCAAGCAAACACGCGGCGCGCTGTGGTTCCATGCTGAAGTGTTTATTATGAGAAAAAGCCGGAGCTTAGTGCCAAGCGGAGCGCACAGCTGGATGTCCATTGTTCGCGTCCTAATCTTTTGATCCGACAGAGTAGACACAGCAGCGTTATGGTGATTGGAGCGCACTTCACAGAACAATGCTGGATTTAAAAGCAAGCACAAAGAGTTGCCTAGACGGCAGAGACCTTTACCATAGGTGTCTTCATTTTGCGGCGCGCTGTCTTATCGCTGCGGCTCAGTGCGTCTGACTCCACTTTCTCTCATTGTCCAGCGTCATCTGTTCGCATCCCGGATCCACTCCGGTCTGTCCGCACTGTGCCAGCCCGCCTGCCGCCGCCTATGTGTCTTCAGACCGGAGCCCAGGCGCAATTCATACTGTGGACACTGAGGCGACAGATGTTCACTATTGTACCTCGGCTGGGTCTTAAAGCCCACCGAATTTGAGTGGCTGACGAGTGGAGGTGCAGCGCGGTTAATTAAAGAGACTACCTGCCAGAGTGTGATAAGGCCGTTTTGTTTAATGGTTATTTCCTGCTGAGTAATATTTGATGGAAATCTCAGGTCGGATTACTCTGGAGTAGAGTAAATCCACGACATGTCACCCTTTGACGTCTGCTGCATAAAATATGAGGTGGATTATAAAGAAGTTTATACAGCAGTTATTATCCTGGGAAGCACACAAACAGGAGTCTCTGTTATTGGCATGTGCGTTTTCATTCACGTGGTACTTCAGTAGCCTGCATATTTGAGGTAGGGTATTTGTACTTCACTTGAGTATTTCATGCCACATGCCATATTTCCACATTTCAGGGGGAAATATTGTACTTTTTGCTACACTACTTTTATTTGACAGCCTTTAGTTACTGTAGAAATTTGGATTTCATACAAAACATTAGATGACCTTATTAAACACAAGGCATTGTTACAGATTAAACTACTAACAATGATACACACAGTAAAATGTGCCAAAATATGTATTGTAGTTAATATTAGCTTCACCTCCACTACATTAGTAAAATGTTGCCTACATTACTGCAAGTATATAATAGTATAACACTAACAGGGGCCAGTTTTAGACATTGAGTAAATTTACCTTACTTTAAGTACCTTTTGGTTGCTATACTTTTTATTTAAGTAACATTTTCAGTGCATTACTTTTACTTGCAGTATTTTTAAATTGTAGTATTTTTTTATTTTTAAAACATTTAAATGCTGTTAATGCACCAGAACACAGGTTTAACAGCCTTTTGATCCACTTTGTTTTGATTTTGTCCAGTTTTCGATCTCTCCTTTTTATGTAATACGCATTCATAACAGCAAAGCTGAACAAGCTTTTATTTCCTTTTTAAGATGAGCTGAATTCACTGCAGACTTCAAATTAGCCTTAAAATGAGACTATACAGCACATTACCTGAACAATCATCATGGATTTCAGCTTTAAAACTAAATCATTTTCAGTGTTGGGGTGGTGATGGGGCAGTGGATATATGTCTTTGGTGGGAGAGACCCGGGTTCAGTTCACCACCAATGTGTCCCTGAGCAAGACACTTAACCCCTAGTTGCTCCAGAGGCGTGCGACATCTGACATATATAGCAATTGTAAGTCGCTTTGGATAAAAGCGTCAGTTAAATGAGTAAATGTAATGTAATGTTGCATCAGCATCATTGCAGCATGCAGTTCTGGTGCTGAATTTGTGCTTTGCTTGTGTGTGTGCTGTAGCCTATTGTGTTAAAGCCTTCTATATGTACACATATGGTGCAATAGATTCACAGTAGTAATCAGTAAATAGCTATTTGTTTTCTAGCCACTGAAACAACAAAGAGCCATCTTCTTCAAAGCCTTGCAGCTCTAAACCGAAAGTGTCTGAAAGTGATTTAGCATGAATATTAATAAACCTTAAATAGGCTATAGTATTTTTAAAAACAAAGTTCACAGGGCTTTACAGAGCAGCAGAGAGTGAGAACACTATCAACCCAAAAAACGGCAGGAACGAGTCTGTGTTGAGACATGCAATAAATTTGCTCACCCGGTGGATAGAAACTAAAAGTCATAGGTTAAGAAGTTAATATGAATGTACAATTTGAGCATAAGTAGTGTCAAATGACCATCTTTTCATGATACTTGGGAACTCATTAGGAAATTATCAATTGATGTACTGTGCTGAATGAATTGTTACCAGTTGATCCTATTTTTTTTTTTTTTTTTTTTACAACAAATGAGGTTGTGGTGATGATGTCCCTGTAAACAAAACAAAAGATATTGTTGTAGAGATGCCCAGTTAGCATTTGTTCATGAACACTAATCAAAAGATATCGTCACAACCTGGCTCAAGGGTCATGACAAAAGAGGGAACGAGGCAGCATAAATGATCAAAAGTGAATTATTTAACAAAAGAGTGAACTAAACATAACTATTTAAATGTGCAAGGTGTGTCTCTGTAACATAAATAACTCAAAGCAAGATGTAGCAGTCGGGGTGATCTGGCCATGGTTGACATCTGGATTGCAGAGAAGGCAGAAGAGAAAGTAGTTTGCCCAAGTGGAGCTTTATCTCCCCTGGCTCACAGGTCCAAGGTGCAGCAAGGATCAGCAATCAGCAATCACCTCAACAAAACAAAGATGGTTAACAGTGGTAAGGTATTGCTCCCAGAGAGTGGCCTCACCAGATCACACAGGGGCCGTCACAATATCAACTGAGAAATACATGCATTAATATGCATGTGTATGTAGACATTCGGTACATGCCCAAACAGTATAAACTAAACACATATATACTTACATAACTATACTGTACATGTATATTTTTAACCATGTAGAAAAAAATTCCCAAGTTAATAAGAAATTAAGTCAAATGCAGTGGTAACAGAAACATAAAAGACAATAAGAACAAGAAAAAGAGAGAAGCACGAAAATGAAGTTCTGAAGTGTTTGTAAAAAAAAAAAAACCCAAAGATTTAAAACAAGACAATGATGGAGCAAGCCTGTCAGTTTTATACATACTGCTGGTGTTGTATCTGCAGTAGAGAAGGTCAGATCCCTTAATTTACAGTCTCGGTTCTGGATGAACTAAAACTGCCCTGTACTGCCTGAGGGTCTTGTGCTGGGATTTGACTCATAGGTTACTAACAGGTCAGGGATCTTTGCTATGTCCAAGACTTGAAAGGTGAATCATGAAATGTTCCTATTTGCAACAATTAAGTATTCCTTTGAGTTTCTCCAGAGAGTGGTGATGAAGATAAAACCAGACCAAGCATCTGCCCGAACGTGGACTAGGAAACAGATTCCTGAGGTACAGACTGTAACACCTGCTCTTCATTTCCTCAAGATTCTCATGTGGAATTGGTTCATGTCAACGCTTTTAGCACTGTTCTGTACTGTGAAAAACCAGCACTGTCTCACAATTTAAAAAGGTTCATTTAGACAATGATAGAGGGGAAAAAACTTTTATTGGATGGATTATCAGAGCTGATCACCGGCCTCAAAGTTCTATATTTTCAGTGGAATAAGACTGTAATGGACATGGAAATGTAAGTTTTGTACATTTCCTTTTCATTATTATTACTACTTATTAGTCACCATGTTGTAGAAATCAGAATAAGTTTTCTGATTAGAGCTGAGGGTCTCAACTGCTCTCTCCACAGGCAGATGCTTTTCTTTATTATGTTTACTGAATGTTAAATGCAGCGATAGGCAAACAGTCTCAGGATTTATAGCATCTCATTTTAATTGACTGATTGTGGTAAGAGTTGGTTGGGTTGATTGGGTAAAAAATATTATTATTATAATTATTTTGAATAGATGAGTTGTAAGTTTATTCAGTGTACTCTTTTGGGAAACTGATGAACTTGCCATTATTAGTTGAGATAAAGTATGGAAAAACATTAGTTTATTCAAAGTTCAATTTCTGCCTTAAAAACAGGAGTTAACCTAACTTGAAAAGGCAATTGGTAGGATTATAGTTAGCTATTTCAACTTAAAAATGTGAGTTCAAAGGGTGTAGAATTGTATTTTTGTTTGACAAGAGACAGCAAGTGTCTTTGAATGGACAATGTAATATAGTTGTTTTAACTCACAGTATCAAGTTGAAACAATAAATGATCATTAAACAACTTGTGTAACGTAACATAATGAGTTAAAGCTTTTCTTAAAGTTGAGTTTACTCACAATTTTAAGGCAGCAATGGAACTTAAGATTTTAAGTTAAACCACCTTGATAATTTTTACAGTGTAATGTTCCTTGCGATTTCATTAGAGGCTGTTTTTTCCATGAAGTTCAAGAAATGTTGATTATTAATTCTAAAATGTATAGTCGACCAAGTAGCAATGCTGAAAACACGAGAAACAGTCAGGTCTTGTTGTTTTCACCAGAAGTCAATAATCAACATTTTTACATTAATACCTGCTAAAAAATCACTTAATCGCTAGCTGGTGAAGAAACATCTAGTTACTTAAAATCCAGATCTATATCCAGATTTGGTTGGGAGCAAAATAGAACTGAATGCTGAACTTGAACACTGATCAGGTAGCAAGAAACACGTCTCGAAATGACTGATAATGTTGCTCCTTAGTTGCTGGGTGTGTAAATAAGCACTGCTTTGCTAACAAGATTGCCTGATCAACTTAATAAGGTGATGATATGTCAATGTTGTTTTTTTAGCTTGTTTCTGCTGAATGGGTCACAAATATATAGTAATTAAAAAAGGCTCTATAAACCGCTGGGCACAGTGGTTTTTACCAAACATTACTGAACGAGACAGATTTGGTGCTCCCATGATTATTAACAGTACCAAATCTATTACCAGGCAAGAACATTGATGTTGGATGCAAAATCTCTAAATACATTCAAAGACAATGTTTTTTAACCTCCTTTAACCACCTTACTTTCTTTGTTGGTGCTGAACATTGGCATGAGAAGTAAATCAAGGTGCACATTCATTCAAAATGGATGTATTTCCCAGGGATGCTGAACTTGGGATTGTCTCGAAATAAACTGTGGCTGTGATCATGGTAATGAAGACACATGTCACCCAGTGCCACAGTGAGGCTTGTTAATACATTTTTAACAGTTTTTGGACAACAATGGCAGTATATGGCTCACAGAATGATCTGCGTCCTTAAAAAAACAGGATTTATCCTTTAAAGAGTCAATAACATAATCTCCAGGTATCTCCCTCCTGTCACCATGACTGCAGCATTAATCCACCACACAATGGACAGTTAAACCACATATAACAATACATTTAATCCGGAGTGGAGCTGCTGAATGTTTCACCCCCATTTGCCAGTGATTGTGTATAATCTGCTTATGAATAAAAGAATAAAAAAAACAGGTCCTCCTGGGAGAAGCAATGGAGACTT